GGACCGGCCAATCACCGGAGGCGAGGCCGGCGCGCTCTGTTTGTGCCGTGGCCGTGCCCCACGCGCGCTCTGTTTATGCCGCGGCCGTGTCCAGCGCGTCCTCCTCGCCGAAGCACCTCCCCTCAGGTGATTGGACGGCCCGAGAGGACCGGCCAATCACCGGAGGCGAGGCCGGCACGCTCTGTTTGTGCCGTGGCCGTGCCCCGCGCGCGCTCTGTTTATGCCGCGGCCGTGTCCAGTGCGTCCTCCTCGCCGAAGCACCTCCCCTCAGGTGATTGGACGGCCCGAGAGGACCGGCCAATCACCGGCGGCGAGGTCGGCGTGCTCTGTTTATGCCGTGGCCGTGTCCAGTGCGCCCTCCTCGACGCAGCCTGCGGCGAGGTGGGCGTGCTCTGGCCGTGCCCCCTGTCGTAGATTAGGGTTTGGATTCGCCAATCTGTTTATTCAGAGTTATTCTTCCATGTTGTTTGTGATGCACGAGTTCCTCAGCACTAAAAACCTTGTGCTTATTTCGTTTTTCAGCTAGGGGACATCCCAGGTCTGCACGAGCTTCTCCACTGCATCCACAGTGGAGTCCCCAACGCGAACTTGCTGGTGTACGCTCAGAATTCAGTGCTGACAGATCTGGTGAATGTGCCTGGGAGTTCACCGCAGGTGCTAGATCCACCGTCTGCAGAAGTCAGAGCAAGGAACCACGCATTGGTTTGTGCTGCGCCGGTTGTACCAATGTTTTTTTTTTTTTTGAAACAGAGGCAAAAGATTTGCCTCATTCATTAATAAAGGAGAAGAGTTTTAGAGTACATGATTAATGGCTTCACATCATAGCCCGTCCGTTGTACCAATGTTTTTGGAGCATGCACCAAGCGGGTCTCAGCCTTGGTGGCGTGTTTGGTCCCGGAAATCTCCTTGTGTACACCAATTCCCACACCATCGCTGTCAGGATCCGCTTCAGTCAGGTGAACGGAGCTCTGGACTATACTCGGCTTGTCACGTCCACAGAGGAGTTTTTCACGCTGCGGGAGACGGTGCCCTCCGGCATCCAGCCTTGGCTTGACCTCATCCGGGGACGAGTCGCCGGCTACGAGTACCTGATACAGTACAACGTAGCCCTCATGGATCCGGCACAGGCCTTTCACTGGCTGATCGAGGCTGACGAGGAGGGATGATCGAGCAGCTGCGGGTCAGCGACCCAGCTACATTCCAGGCCATCCTCTGGATGCACCAAGACCTCAACCACTGGAACCGTCACAGTTATTGCCTCAACAGTCGTCTGGCCCGAACCCGGAATTTCAGAAACACAAGGACCGGACGGCGGACAGTCTTCGAGCCCGACCTGATAGGGATCCTGGCGCTCGGCCGCAACAACTCGCAGCACGCCTCCAAGTTCAAGGGGCGACTTATGGTCCTAATCCTGGAGTACGACTTCCCCGGGATCGTCGCCCGCGTTCAGCACTCCCTTTTCAGGGTTGGGTTGCTACCTCTATTCAACCTGGAGGCAACCATGGGATGAGATGATCTCTGACACGATCATGCCGAACTCCTTACGAGACAAATGCATATAATCACAACAGGATTTACAGTGTTTACACAAACTATTCATATTGTATTCGATTCATTCGCTTGTGACTATTGCTACTAGTCGAAACTGTATGTGCTAATAGGCGAATTTTGCGATATGAATAGTCAGTACAAGTATTCGTTTGCTTGGAATCTTCTCTCTTAGTTTTTGCCCTTGATCTTCTACATTGTCAACACTTGTCTCACCAACACCATCAGGCTCCTTTGCAGCCGCAGCTTCCAGCACTTTTGCCGTTGACGTGTTTTCTGCATGCGCTTCCACATCCTTCGACCGCTCCTCACTAGATCGATGGCCCAGCCTCGCATGCCTGTACAACATTACCCACTGTTAGCTGCAGTAGTAGATCAACTGTTAACAAGCTTCAGTATGAGATAGGCATTTTGGTTTCAACAAATCCTTCATTTTCCAGCGTGCTTTCACTTTTATCCGACAAACAGCCTATCATGTTAGTTTCCCTCGGTAAGCCTGCAAAGACAAAACAGTAAAAAAGATTGGTTTACTCTTTTATTGGTGTTAGCTTAGCAGTTGGTAGATCTCCTCCTACCAGATCAATTATGATAATAGCAGAGAGATAAATTGCAACGAAAGAACTGATGAATCATGCACTGTTGCACCAATCTAGTGGGGCCATTTAAAGATGGATCACTCAATAACCCTAAACACAAAAACGTCGCTGTACTAAATCAGCGACGAGTAATATGGAACGGAGGGAGTACCTATCATCATCTCCTCAATAAATGTTGATAGGTTTCGAAATACTATGTTATATTAACATACAACCATTAATATTTACTAATGCAGACTCTAGTACTCTACGAACCATGCAAACAATTGGTGTGCTATCTTTTGTTATGCTATACAAGATGGTAATTTCAGTGCTGTCAACCCATGCTCAATAAGCCATCCAAACCCTTTAGTTTTTTTTAAAAAGAACAATAACCCAAATCTACGAGCAATATTGTGGCCTTACCAATTCCAACTGAAATATTGTCAGGCTTAAACAGTAAAAATCTCTATAGAAATATGCATAAAACATACCTGGATCTTTGGATCGACTGCGCCAACTTGCAGCAGGTCCAGCGCGCTTTCACTTTTATCCGACCAACTGCCTATCATGTTAGTTTTCCTCAGTAAGCCTGCGAGAAAAAAACAGTAAAAATATTTTTTTCCCCTCTGTTATTGGCATTAGCTTAGCAGTTGGCAGATCTCCTACCAGATCAACTATAATAATAGCAGAGATAAGGGCATTGCATGGGAAGAACTGATGCATCGTGTACTGTTGCACCAATCTACTGGGGTGCTAACCCTTAACACAAGACATTTTTATAGCTATAACAAGTAGACTATTAAGCTGAAAAGATCTGCGCAACATCTAGTTGCTTACCTCCTCCTAATTACTAGCTCTTTTATGTAATGGCAGAACTTACTTGGTTCAGAACCTAGAAACCTGAGGTCCAATGTCTAAATTTAGCTTGCTTTGGAAAAAGCAAGAGTACCACATCTCAGTTTTGTTCAACCATAGGACCATGGCCATCTTCCTAAATGTATATGTTTCGGCAACAGATCTAGTGACACACATCAATAACTAGCATAATAAAAAATAGAACACACGGATCAAGTAGCGCACAATTTCCAAGCAAACAGAACATTTTATTGATTCCACTTTTTCTAGGAGGAAAAAGCACAACATGAACCAGTGACAGTCAAGCAGGGATTTTGGAACAAGCCAAACAGTTTCTACATCCAAAATGCTACAGGACCAAAATGATCTTTATGACTAGACACTATGAAGGAGCGCGTGGAGCGGTGATCTGTGATCCGCAGCTCTCCCTTGTGATTGTACTTGAGCCCAAATATGGTGATATGGAGCACACAGCCATCATGGTCTCCGAGAGCCTGTCCCTCCTCCACTCCCTCCCGTTTCACGCACTCGACGAGGCAGAACTTGCTCGTGCCCATGTAGGTGAGAGAGGCTCTCATGTGCATCTGCCGGTCCTTGCAGAACAACTTCTCCTTGGTTGTCTGGCAGTCCAGCTGCAACGTTGGAGTCGTGCTGTGGAAGCTGGGAGAGGCAACTTGGCAAGCAGAGATGTAGCCATCCCACCTAAGGCCAACCCAAGCATTGAGCTCCCTGTCAAAGTGAGCTTCTTCAATGAATGGCAATCCCCACTCCCCATGCCATCTCCACACAGAATCCTTGGTGTTGAATGAGTAGGTGCCCATGCAACCTTTGCTAGGTGCGGTCATGAAGTTAGCCGTGGACATAAAGATGGTGCATCCATCCGGGTGTAGTGCATAGGAGTTGACGCGGCGGTGGAACGTTGGCGGTGGTGGCGGCAGAGTCTTCCAGGACCAGCCCTCGGTTGGTTGTTGCAGCGCATCCGGGGCGGTGGACCCCCATGACATGACCCCAAAGGAGTGTTGTTTCTTGTCGAAATGGTAAGATAATGCATAGAGCATCTCATCAACGACCACGGTGATGCCGAAGCCACAGACCATGTCAGCAGGGGCATGGGCGCCAATCGTCATTGCGGCCGTCTTGGTGTCGTAGATGAGGCTGCATCGCTGGTTCATGAAGGTGAAGATCTTGGTGCCCAAGGCAGAGAACGACATGCCGGGATGGGGTACAGTGCCAACCGGGCACTCTAACCGCAGGGTCGGAGGCTCCGGAAGGTGCCGGGCAGCGCCGCTGTGCTGCTCATCAGAGTCAGAGTCAGAGTCAGAGTCAGAGTCAGAGTCGAAGCTGTCGGCTTGGATCTTGTGGATGCTGTACCCCTTGGTCCAGTCATCCAACACGAGGTACAGATGCTTGATCCGCCGCGACCTCTTTTCACCGCCGTCGCCGGCATATCCCCGGGCTTATTAGACATCCCCACTGCGATTTGACAGAAGACCTAATAGTAATAACAGAGTAATCTATCTAATCCTCCTACTGCTGCAGCTCTGCCTCTGTGTTCACCAATCAAGCGTCCTTGAAGAGTTTCGGCAGAAAGATTGAGCCTTGAATTTATTATACGATGCCGCTGCCGCCCTGCAAAATCAGTGTTAGAATCGGAATTGGAATTGGAGGGAGGGGATGAGTTGGATTCCGAAAACGATTAGCAATCTGGTGCCGTGACGGAGACGACGGCCAGATGAGACGAGATCGGTGGTGAAGACCTACCCAAATCAATTCGCAGCTAGCAATCACGGAAGGAAAGGGATCTGTGTACCTGCCCTGCCTGCGGTGAGGGCGAATCGGGGACGGATGATGAAGCCAGATTCAATCCACACCCTGCCCTGCGCGCCAGAATCAGTCCTGCGAAGGGAAGATGGCTGGCAGCACTGCGGCGGCGGCGGCGGTGGAGTTAGCGCGACGGAGAGATTACTGTAAACGACGAGAATTCCTTCCCGAGAATATATATGGCTGGTGTTTTCTTAGAAGGAGAAAAGTATTCGTGTGGACGCTGCTACGTAGCGGCGCCGCTTCCCTTCCCGTGCGCTCGCTAATCGCCCCGCTAATGCGTGGGTTACAGCATCTCTAAAATCGTTTTAGAGATTACTGTAAAACATTTTTACAATATTTTTACTGGGTGACGTGTGTACAGGAGAGATCCCGTATAAATCCTTCAGGTCAAGTGTGGAGCACACTAGTCGGTAGTATAATTACCTATCCATATCGTGTTCCTATCTTCCACCCGAAGAAAGGAAAAGTGATCTAGCTTTCGGCTCGCGCTCCATCGCCGTTCTCTGGCGGCTTCCCTTGTCGATGACCCTGGTTGTCGGTGGTGAGGGAGGGTCGCCGGATCCACGCGTGTGGATAGTTTTAGGCTAAAGTATTTTAGTTTTTTAGGCTGTTCATCGTCTTGGCTTCGGCAACAGCTATGGTGGCGCTGAAATTTTTTTCTTCAGATCCTACTCAGATGAGATGATTGGTCCTATCGTTGGGGATGGTTGGAATCCAATCCGTTCAAGCAAAGATGGTGTGGCGGCGGCATCCTCATGATGGACATGTGTCCTCGGGCTCCGCCGTTGCGATGGCGTCTGCTCCAGCGTCGGCGCGGAGTTTGGAAGGTAATCCAGGAGCGGATGCAGATTGTGGTCTGCATCGACGACATCTGGAAGACGGAACGTGTGCTGTATTCATGGTTGATGGATGGTAGGTGTGATTTCTTCCTTCAGCATCTTAGTCATGGTGGGGTGTCACATCTGGAATTTGATGGCGTGTCCAGGGTTTTGCCCCGGTCTGATTCGTTCAACGTCAACGTCAACGTCAACGTCAATGATTCGTTCGTCATTCTATTCTTCGGTGGCTGCTTTGGTGGTGCCGGAGGCAGGTGATGGACGTCGGTGTCAAACTCAGAGATGTTCTGCTGTCTTTTCAGTTTTGTCATGTCGGTTTTTACGTGAGTTGTACTCTGATCTTTATCATATAAATGAGACACATATTACCATGTAAAAGAAATATTAGTCAGTAGTATAATTTATAATAAGGTCCCTGCAAAATAGCATAAAGCCCCCTACAAGGAAAATAACTCAAACTGCAGCGAGTAGCTTTGTATCAAACTGCAGCGAGCAGCTTTGTATCAGCCACCAGACACTAAATAATTAAGCCCACCCAACAATCAGAAAGCACTCATCCACAATGTGAAGCTCAAGTTTGTTCGTTTTGTCTGGCTTCCTTCTTCTCTGTAAGAGCACACCCCTTCCTGATCTAACCTTCTTTAAGGAAACATTAGCATGGTCTCACTCAATCTGACGAATTTTTTTACCACAAGACAAAGAAAAATGATCGTCAGGTGAAACTAAGTTATAATGTTATAGTATGTCTTTGTAATTGTGGACAAAGATACTTTACTGTCATTAGAAATCATGTACCTAAAGTATTCAAGTGAGTTTATGTTATAATGTTATAGTATGTCTTTGCAAGTGACTAGAAATAATGTTATTCACTTGTGAGCACTATGGAATTAAAACATAGGAGCGCTCTGCTTGTTAGCCTCTACTCTACTTCTCTTTTCCTCGGATTGCTGCGACGCCACTCGTTATATTTTTTCTGATACCTGAGTATTTTGAAATATGCAACAAGAGTGGTGCTTTGCTGGTGGAAGAAAAAAGAAACGCACAAAGTATTCTATTAAGTTGTTTTCCTTAATTACTTTTGAAATCCCAGTGTCTTCAAAAAGCAGAGCAGGCTTGTTTAAGAAGGCTCTCAAGTCACGTATATGCTGCACACTGCGACAAATTCCTTTGGAAATAATCTATCCATCCTGGGAAACAAGGTACAGCTTGACGTTAACCAGATTTGCAGCTCGATGTAACGAGCAATTTTCCTTTCTTGAAATAGGCTTTCGTCCCACTTTATAAATAAAACAACCATCATGTCCATATAACGAGTAGCAAATCAAGGAGAAAAGAAAGTCTGCTGAGGCAACGACACAAGCAGTTCACCTGCATCCACTTGTATGGGCAACGGCACAAGTAGTTCACCCTGAAGTCTGAATGCCATTGCTCCAGACTTGACCTGCATCCAGGTTGTGCTCGACGAGTTCGGCGTCGGCGGCGGCGGCAGCGGCTGCATCCACTTGCTTGACTTCAACATCGGCGTCGGCTAGCAGTGGGCGTCGGCTAACCGGCGCCTTCAGCGCAAGCCGGAGGTTCTGGCGCCCACGAGACTCCTGAAAGAAGCTATACAAGAAATCGATCCCGCGCGCCAGACTCCTCTAAGAATCTTGTGAACCACTGGACTTCACACAAACTTGTGACTGTATTCAGCGCGAACATTATAAGATTAATAGTAGCCGCGCTATTTGTGCATCAGTTATATTTCCTGAAAAACAAGGAAAATTCATGAACAAGAAAAGAAACATTGGTCTATTTTAAAAAAAAAGTTCACGAATTAGAAAAACGCTCACATATTCACAAAGTTCATTAACATGAAAATGTTCACTAATTTGAGTAACAATTTCAAGAATTTGAAAAATTATCGTGAGTTTGAAAAACGGTTCATCAATTTTGGGAAATAATCATCGAATTTGAGAAAATTTCATCCACTCTGAAAAAAGTTCATCGAATTACAAAATAGTTCATCGAATTTAAGAAAAGTTCATCGAATTTGAAAAAAAAATTCATCCACTCTGAAAAAAGTTGAAACTCAACACAAATGATGGTAATAAAAAAATTTGTGAATATTGTTATTTACGCACTTCATATTGTTTGTCAGAGTAGCCCCGCTCACAGGTCGTGTGGCGGATGGACTCGCAAATGTAGTATCCACAGAAATCATTCTCTTGTTCCTGCCACAACCACTTTACAAGAAATAGAGGTCAATCAAACTGATAATTAGCAAGCATGCTAAATGGTATTGATGAAACTAGCGCTTGAATCACTAGGAGATGCGTGGAATATGCTACTATAGTACTTACTTTCGGGTGTCTAAATTGCAGCTTCTTCGGCAGTTCCAGAGCTTTTTGGTGAATTTTTTCCAAACCCTGCCATACAAAGAAAACAATTACTTGATACCAGAAATGAACAAAGTTGCTGATATGGTGGATAATGATCGATTTAACTTACTTCTCGAGCATTTCAGTCATGTCCGCATACTCCTTGGGATCTTTTCGTTTGGAGTGTAAGACAGTTACTACTCCCTGCTCAAGCTTAATCTCTAGGAGAATATAGTGGTACCTGCGCACGCATGCATAACTCATCAATATTACATTACCATAACCTGGACTAATAAAGGGAAACCGAATATGCCACAAGACAGTAACACTCACTTGAAGTTGTAAGGAAAGAGTATTATATCTTTGTGTTCATTTATTTCCAACGATCGTAGAAAGTTGGCCTCGGTATTTTCGGCATGAAATTCAACCTCAGTTGCATCTATGAGATATGTGTTAATGAACCCAATATCACCCACTTGTCTTTTCTTCAATTCGGCGATCTTCAATCTGCATAATATAGTGAGGATAATTATAAATACATGCAATGAAAGAGCTGAGTTATATAGAGAGACTTAATGACAGGAGTAGTACTACTTACAGACAGTAGTGACCGTTGCTTTATCGGGGGCCAATTGATTGAAAAACTGATAGAACTCCTCAAATGGAATAGGCAACAGTTCAATTCCAATGAGGTCATGCTCCTTTTTAACTCTCACATACAAATTACTCCTCCCCTCAAACTCTCTGTAGGTTTTCATGTACCAATCATGCAATCTTCGCATCATCGTTGATAGAGATCTTTCATCTTTGACGAGAGGCTTCCCGTACTCGTATCTTTGTATCTGCACCTCCCAGAAATCATAATGTACATCGTCGGCAGGTAATCTGCATGATTGCCATAACCAGGCACCATCCTCGGATCGACGATGTCGCTAGCAGGCACCTTGAGTGGGGGGCACGATTGCTTTGCTTGTTCACCGAGTTGGCATGGTATCATCATAATAGTTGTGGGAGAAAGTCTTCACTTTTTCTTCGCTTGTGTCATTTGCTTATTGCACCGTAACCATGGATAATCTTCATCGTTTATCAGGATGCTTGGGTCAGCCTTGACTTTGAAGGGAGGAATTTCATGAAATTTTTCATACTCTTCAGACATGTCTGTCTTGCCCTCCACTCCCAGGATGTCCCTTT